TATATATATATATATATATATATATATATATATATATATATATATATTTAATATCAATAGTTTTTTGGGGAACAGGTGGTGTTTGGTTATATAAGTCAGTTCTTTAGTGGTGGTTTGTGAGATTTTGGTGCACCCATCACCCGAGCAGTACACACTGAACCCAATTTGTAGTCTTTTATCCCTCACCCCTCTCCCACCCTTACCCTGGAGTCCCCAAAGTCCACTGAATCATTCTTATGCCTTTGCATCCTCATAGCTTAGCTCCCACTTATGAGTAAGAACATATGATGTTTGGTTTCCCATTCCTGAGTTACTTCACTTAGAATAATGGTCTCCAATTCCATCCAGGTTGCTGTGAATGCCATTATTTTGTTCCTTTTTATGGCTGAGTAGTATTTGATGGTGTATAGATACCACAATTTCTTTATCCACTCGTTGATTGATGGGCATTTGGGCTGGTTCCATATTTTTGCAGCTGCAAATTGTGCTGCCATAAACATGTGTGTACCAGTATCTTTTCTGTATAATGACTACTTTTCCTCTGGGTAGATACCCAGTAGTGGGATTGCTGGATCAAATGGTAGCTCTACTTTGAGTTCTTTAAGGAATCTCCACACTGTTTTCCATAGTGGTTGTACTAATTTACATTCCCACCAGCAGTGTAAAAGTGTTCCCTGTTCACTGTATCCATGCCAACATCTATTATTTTTTGAGTTTTTGATTATGGCCATTCTTGCAGAGATAAGGTGCTGATATGTATTTTTTTTAAAAGGTAACTTTGGATGATAGGCAGAGAATGGTTTGTGCAGGGGCAAAAGTGGAAACAGGAGACCTTTGAGAAGCCTCATCATAGCACAGGGGAGACTGTGGTGCCTGTACTACAGTGGGAACAATGCCATTATCCCACCACAGTATATACCACCATGGGTGATATTATTTTAATATTCACACTACTAGATTACCAGAAAAAACAATATGACCTCCTTTATCACTTCTAGTGGGCATTTTAATTACATTCTTTCTTATTTCTCTTTTTATTTAGGAATGAACATATGCAGTTTCCTACTAAGTTATTTTAAATCTTATGCTCTGTCACCATAAAATTAAATTGTATTTCTGAGAAGTGTATTCTTATGATGAGTTCTTTATTTTTCACATTTTCCATTCCCATTTAGTATTTCAGAACCTCATGGTTAGCCAGCTAGTTCTTCTCCTTATGATGGATAATTTTACAGGTCAACTTAACTAGGCTAAGGGATGCCCAAATCGCTTCTGTGTGTCTGTGAAGGTGTTTCTGGAAGAGACAAGAATTTGAATCTGAGTAAAACAAACTGCCCTCCCCAATATGGGCAGGAACCACTCAGTCTGTTGAGGGCACAAATAGAACAAAAAGTCAGGGGAAGGGCTAATTTTCTCTCTCTCCTCTTGAACTGGGATATCCATCATCTCCTGTCCTCAGACATCAGAGCTCCTGGTTTTTGAGCCTTCAAAATCCAGGATTTATACCAGCAGCACTCATACCTCCCTACCTCCCTTCCTATGCCCTAACCCAGATGTAGACCTTTGGCCTTGGACAGGGAGTTACACTATGAGCTCCCGTGTTTCTCAGGCCTGCGGACCAGACTGAATTACACCACCAGCTTTCCTGGTCCTGCAGTTTACAGACTGCTTATCATAGGACCTGTCACCCTCCATAATCCCCATCATGAGCCAATTCCCAACATCAATTTACTTTATATCTATATGGATCCTTTTTATTCTGTTTCTCTGGAGAACCCTGACTAATATCCCCTTCCTCTTTCTTCTTTTATCTTCTAGTGAGGATTGGATTTGATCGACTTCTGTCTTCATTTTTGAGCCAATTCCTCTTCATAACCTTTGCTGTTCATCACAAAGAAGGTCATCAAAGGCTAAATAAAGATTTCTACCATAAAAATCAGTCATATTTAGTAATAATCATGTATATCTTAAGCACTTACCATGTGTTAGGCACGAAGCTAAAAGTTTGTGTCATTTACTCCTCAAAATGAAATGGATACTTCTATTGTCCCATTTTACAGAAGAAGAAAAGCTCTGGGAAACTAAGCAAATTTCCTAAGGTCTTATGCTAGAGTGAGTGGCATAGCCAGCTTTCAGGGCCAAGTGTCTGATTCCCAGGTACACTCTTGATTAGCTACCTCATCTATCATTGGCCCAGTGGATGGTTTTTCCAGGCTCGACTAACCCAGTTTGAAAACAGAAGGACATGGAGCTATGTGAGCATAGACCACAGTTGTATTCTTTGCACCTACAGGAAGTAAACAACATGCCAGTCCAAGTTCTAATGCAAATAAAAGCCTGTTTGTTTTCTGAGTCAATCCTTCAGGCATTATCTGTAACAGGTCTGTGGCTCCTCTGCGAAGACTGGGCCTTGATTGAATGTGATGTTGCTGTCAGTCTAGATTTGTGCTTACATATGTGACTGGTCCCCAGACACCATACAACACTTAAATGCAGCCCAGTAATGGTTCCTGACCACTGCACCTCCACTCCAAGAGCACACAGCTGATGCAGCTGCCAAGCTATTTCCTAGCCTAATTACTTTCTTTATTTTCATGCCTGGCCATTGTTAATGACATTTGGCCATCACGCACACAGTAAATAGAATTAGGATGTATTGGAAAAAATATGACTTCTGTATAGAAAGTTGAGAATCCAGAAACTGCCATCTGGATTTTATGTCTTCTTGCACAATAAGACAGCCTCTCAAGGCAGCACATTTTGGGAGTAGCTTGGCAACATTCAGCAGCAGCTTGCTTCCTCTTTCTTTATCCTGCTTGCTCCCAGATGCTGAGTCCTGCTCTGTAGGTTGAGTGGAGCAGGAGATGGGTCTATGGAGGAAAAACCTAAGGCTGTGTCTTCCTTATTCTCTGGCTCTGACCACTGCCAGTTCGGTACAGTTCTGTCTATGGTTATGCTGCCATACTGCTGCTTTTCCCTCTGAAGTTTTAATGAAATCGTCCTAGTAAGTCTGACCCTCTTATTCTGCATAGAGCACCCTTTATTGTTTCATGTATTTTTTGAAGGCTAGTAAAGCTTCCTAAGGAAGGCAGGTCAGGAGATGGTAAACCAAAGCTCTCATTAAATGCTAGCCATTACTACTACTGCTACTGGCAAAAACCCCAATGTGGAGTTCATCCTTTCTCTGTCTCTTACATCCTTCTTGATGCCTAGAAGAGTGCTGGGTATGCAATAGATATTCCTTCATAGATTCTTGGTGGCCTGGCTTTATGCTTCCAATTTACTACCTATAAAATATCCATCAGTGTTTTCCAAGCTTCAGTCATTTCCCCATTATCTTTGCAGATTGATTACTATCTGTACAATTATTTTTTCATTATACTTTTTATTTTATTTTACTTTTTTTAGACGGAGTCTGACTTTGTCACCCAGGCTGGAGTGCAGTGGCATCATCTCAGCTCACTGCAACCTCTGCCTCCCAGGTTCAAGTGATCCTCCTGCCTCTGTCTCCCAAGTAGCTGGGATTACAGGCATACGCCACCACACCCAGCTAATTTTTGTATTTTTAGTAGAAGCGAGGTTTCACTATGTTGGCCAGGCTGGTCTTGAACTCCTGATCTCAAGTGATCCGCCCACCTTGGCCTCCCAAAGCACTAGGATTACAGGCGTGAGCTACCGTGCCCGGCCTTTCTTCAATATACTTTAAATCAACTGATGCTCTTTGAAAAAATTGATTACTTTTGCAATCTATATATTTCATCACTACCACAAACTGGAAACCAGCACCTTGTGCATTAGGTGGAAGGGAATGTTGAAACTTAATTTGTAACTATTAAAAAATAAATGTGTCCTTGTATTATCTAAATATGTCTATGTCCCCTGTGAAATAGGACATTGAAGTCTGAGCTTTGCTTGAAGGGGGCGGTGGTCAGGGCTGTCAGCGTGCATCAGACCTTACGGCTTCATTGTGCTCTGGACACGTCTAACTGCCAGTATCTGCATCTCTGTACATGAGGGATTTTCTGGGAACCATTGAAGTCCCCTCTGCCTTGGCCTGTAGGCTGCCAGTGAATTAACACCCTAGAAGTAGCTGATGGCTGATAGGAATTGGTGGATAAGTATCCCAGCTCCCCATGCCTCTTGTGGGATACTATTCCCCAGAGTGTTCCTGTGGGGTTAGACTCTCGTCACTTACTATAGTAGCTGGCTGAATAATACATCCTTTTTTGGCTGTCTTCCTTTCTTCTATCACCTCCCAACCCTTAAGCAGTGTCCCTACACTTCCCAAATGAAGGGCTTGCACTTGAATCATTGTTTCCAGGTCTGCTTCTGGGAGAGTCCAAACCAAGTCCGAGGCTGCTTGCAAATCAGGGGTCAGTGGTCATTTTTATACTTACCAGCTAAGGTTTGCATGATGTGTACTTTGTACCACTGTGCATTGACTATGCCAATTTATCAAATGATAAGTGGGAACAGGTGCAACCACACTTTGACAAATATTTCATCCAGGTGACATTTTCCCCACAAAAGAAATGATTTGAAAATATTTTCCAGAAAAAAATTTTAAAACAAATTATAAATAGTTTCCAATAGTAATAGCTCTTTCCAACACACACAAATAAATATGAGCTATTTTTTATTTGGATAATGTTTTGTTTGGATAATGTCCTCCAGTGAAAGAAAGTCAATATGCTGCAAGCCTGGTAGATATTAGGCTGAAAGCTTGGTTATAAATGCAAAAGCTGGGTGCAGTGGCTCATGCCTATAATCCCAACACTTTGGGAGGCCAAGGTAGGCAGATCACCTGAGCCCAGGTGTTCAAGACCAGCTTGGGCAACGTGGCAAAACCCCATCTCTACAAAATAATAATAATAATAATAATAATAATTTTAAAAATTAGCTGAGCATGGTGGCACATACTTGTAGTCCCAGACACTTAGGAAGCTGAGGTGGGAGGATTCCTTGAGTCCAGGAGTTCGAGGCTACAGTGAGCTATGATTGCACCACTACACTCCAGCCAGGGTCACAGAGTGAGACTCTGTCTTTAAAAAAAAAAAGAAAAGAAAGAGAGGAGAATGAGTCCTGGATAGGCAGCTAACAACTCTGTCACAGAATAAGGGTCAAGGAAAATTCTTTTGAGGAAGCAACATCTAAGCTAAGACTTAAAAATAAAGAAGAGTTACCTACGCTAACAGTGGGAGATGCATTCCAGGAAGAGGGAAGAGCAATACATGAAGGAGGGAAAGGAGGGGAGGGGAAGAAAGTGCAGCTTCCCAGTTTTGCATCCCATAATAAGCAGCATGAGATGATTCTGGCCCCTTCCTGGCTTCCCATAGAGAGGCACAAGGACTGCTGTCAAATAATAAAAGAATGCCAAGCAGGAATATTAAGTGACTGTTCTCAGAAAGAGAAGATTATGTATCACCGTTTCTCCATGACTCATCCCTTCCCACATATCTTCAATTTTGAGCATTTAGTCCTTTTTCCACTGGAAGTATGAAATGGTGGTCCCTCTTCCTGCCAAACTCCTCATCAGCTTTGTTTTGGACATTGGCAAGAAGAAATCCTGTTTCCTGTCTTTTGTTTCCTGGCTGTAGCCTCTGGTTCCACCCCCTTCTTGGTCTCACAGTGTCTATTTCCGCCTCAGGCCCCAGAGTTTCTAACAAACCCATAGATCAGTTTTCTCTTCCACAGTTACTAGTTACACAGAATTATCAAAGAGGAAAATAACTTTTCTTCATCCCAGGGGTTTTTTTTCTCCTTGGATCACTTCGTTTTGTTTTCTACTTAGGTTAAGTTCCCAGGCTCTCCTCTGCAAATGCAGGAAGAAATTAGCAGGTGTTGGGGCCTGATTCTTCCCGGGAACATACTGGAGCTGTCCTGGTGTCAGACCAGAAATGATGTAATAAGTCACTGGCAACAGAATGAAGACAAGGAAAACTCCAGGGTTTATATCTTGGGTGTGGAGCTTGAGATATAATACTATGGCCAGGAGGGGGAGTAAAGTGGGCCTCCTTGCAAAGAACAGCTTTTGAGTTTGCATAATTTTTCCCGTTTCTAGGCTGGTTGACCTTAAGCAAGTTACTTGACCACTTTAAGGTTTGGTTTTTTGATCTGTAAAAAAGGAAATGACAGTACCTACTGATGATGTATCTATCCACTTGACTGGGCTAAGGCATGCGCAACAGCTGGCAGAACATTATTTCTGGGTGTGTCTGTGAGGATATTTCTGGAAGAGATCAGCATTTACATCAGTAGACTGAGGAAAGAAGATTCACCCTCATCGATGTGGGTAGGCATCGTCCAATCTGAATAGAATGACAGGGCAGAGGAAGGGTGAATTTGCTCTCTGCTGAAACTGGGACATCCATCTTCTCCTGCTCTTGGACATTAATGCTCTTGGTTCTCAGGCTTTTGGTCTCTGAGACTGACACCAGCAAGCCTCTTCACCCTCCAGCTTCTCTGGCCTTGGGCCTCAGATTCTGAGTTACACTATGAGCTCCTGCTCCCATTTCTCAGGCCTTTAAACTCAGACTGAATTATAGCACCAGCTTTCCTGGTTCTCCAGCTTGCAGACATCATACTGTAGAACTTCTCATCCTCCGTAATTGCGTGAGCCAATTCTATAATAAATCTCATATATCTCTCTATATATCCTATTGGGTCTGTTTCTCTGGAGAACTCTAATAATATATTACCTAATCAAATTGTTGTGAGGATTAAATAAAATGGTACGTGTCATAGTGCCAAATAGCAAGCCCTCAACAAATGGCCATTATCTTTATTACTAGTGGGATTTAGATCATGTGTTTCTTACTAAAATAATAAATAATATTTATTGTTCATTTCAGCTATGAAAAGAAAATATTTGGAAGATCACTGATTCCTTCATGGAAAGGCTGGCTTGGGAATAGATGACATGTCAAAGATTGGCATCAACCTTGAGCGCTTCTTCTAGGCTTGAGATACAGATAAAAAAAAAAAAAAAACAACAAACCTCCCTAGAGTGAGGGCTACTTGGGATTCATGCTATGTCCCAAGGAGTTCTCAGTTTGAGGTCAGCCCCAGCTCTACAACTCACCAGGAGAGTGTGCGACGATGAGGGAGAGAGAGCCTGCTCTGGTTCTCTTCAGGGTGACAATGACACCTGTTGACAGATGAGAATTCCAGCCAGGAATACAGATTTAGGAATCATGCTTCTCACTCTCATGATGACATAGAAAAGATGCCTCTGAATCTTTCTGCCAGCGTGTTAAAGCTATTCTGATATTGACTGTAGTTCAGAGCTTTGTCTCTCTTCCACTAAACCACTAACTTCTGGAAATTAATTGTAGACCAAGATGAGAGGACTCTGTGTGTGGCTCCATGAGTATGTCTGTTATAAAATATCAACTGCATTTATATCTATTCTATATCTGTTAGGAAAGGCTAGGCTATGCCGCAAGAAACAAATAGCCCTAAAACCTCAGTGGCTTACAATGACATAAAGTTATTTTGCTCACACTGCATGTCCAGATCAATACCAGCTGTCCCTGGCAAAGAGAAGGGGGACACAGAAAATTGTATTCTAATTCTTATAAGCTACTCCATATTCCGATAGCTTAAACAGATCCTTAGCCACACCTAACATTAGGAAAGAGTTCTCTCGTCAGTGTTAGAATTTTTCTAATTCAGATAGATCTACCTGTAGTCAGTGGGATCTAACTGATGTCTTGAACCTTTGAAATTATCTAGCTTGAAACTGTGGCATACTGACCAGTGATCTAGTGAAAACAAGACAGGATAGGGATTTTAAAATGCCTGCTAAGAATCTCTTTTAAGAAAGGAGTGATGTTTCATCTGTTTGCTATGTTCAAAATCAAACCTGTTTCATGCTTTATATTTAAGTCTTAAAATTTTTTCAAGGCAGAGATCAGGACAGATGTTTCATTTGTACATCTGTATCACTTCATTGCCTGGTTCAGATTAATTTTGCTTACAATTTGGAAGTTGATAAAGTAATCCACTTAGTTGAAGGATGACTTCAGGTCACACCTGCCAGTTAAAACACCAGGAACACACTGGACTTTTCAACTGTTTTGAATGAAATGTGCAAGTGAAGCCAGCAGAAATATCACTATAAGTCACTATTTACTGACTGCCTTGCATGGGCCTGGCACTGGTTTAAGCACATTAAACACATTATCATTTACCATCTTCCCAGCAAGAGACAAGGCTGCTAAGGCTTTGAGAGCTACCATGTTCTGCTCAAGGTCACATGGCTGATACATGTCAAAGTCAAAGTCTAATCTCAGGTTTATCTGAATCCAAAGGTCAAATTCTGAACTAAATAGCAGTGAATGAATGAGACTGACTCCACTGAAGGAACCTCACAGATTTGGACGGAGATTTTGACTGTATATGTGCTTATTTGACTGTTTTCCATTTGAGGAACTGAGAC